ACCTGGACATTGTGTGCATAATTAAGCTTCTATGCTATTTTGAGCAACTACGAGCAGTAGAGAGAAATTTTGGTTTACCTTTTTCTGTTTCTGTTCTTTTTTGGTGTTGTGATTAGTACCTGAAGGTCCAAATAGCTCAGTACAGAACAGGTTTTCTATGCAGAGAAGGAATCTGGATTTTCGTTGCAAAGAAAAAGAATGATTCACGTTGGGAAGCTGCTGGATTGTTCCTTTCGTGTACGAGGAGGGATCTGCGGGGGGGCCTGCGCTCTAGGGAACCTCCGCGCCAGAGCCTGTGCCGGCGAGCCGCGCTTGGCCGGGGGGGTTGCCGCACCGTCCGCAAAAAGATGACGGAGAGAGCTGCAGGATACGACAAGAAGAGAGAGAGCGCACACCAGAGATGACGAGCAGCCCTAATTTTTTACTATTTAACCCTTTTTTTTAATAAAATTTACGTTTAACCCCCTACGTGACTTAAACTCATCTTTAACCCTGGAGGTCGGCGCCATAAGTCCTGGCACCAAGGTAATAAGTCTCGTTGCCACAGATCTTGACGCCGAGATATCTGGCCGAATACAACAGAAAATCTTAGGTGACGTTGACATGATCGATACCTCAACGCCCTAAAATCATCTGATTTAGCCCTTGTTTAGACTGCAATTTCCAAAAAAGTTCCAGAGACTACATCGCAGAGCGGTCCATGCATGGGCATTAAATGTACGAAAAGAAAAAGGAGCAGTTTGGTGAGGTGAGACGAACGTTTTAAGCCTAATTAGTCAATGTTTGGACACTATTTGCCAAATAAAAACGAAGGTGCTACAATAGACCCAAAATCCAAATTTCGCGAACTAAACAAGGGCTTAAACGCCAAGGTCGACACCATATATTTTGGCGTCGAACATGCGTAACTAATATTAAATGCTAGCGTGTAGCAGTGCGGGACTGCCAATATTAAATGTGGCGCCGAGACAGAGCATTGAGGAGCAGTTCAGCGCCTCTGCTGGCTTGCGTTGCGCTTGCGTGGAGGGTGTTCGGCTGGTACACACAAAAGTACTGTGTACCAACGGGTTCCGGATAATTTAATAATGTTCTATGAGAAAAAATAAGCTGAAACAAAACGAGACAGAAAGAGCCAAACAGGTGGCTGCAAGGAGGGGTGCGATGTAGCACCATATTATCAAATTATAGAGTAATTAGGGTTAAAAATTCGTCTCACAAATTAGTCATAGTCTATGCAATTAGTTATTTATATATATATATATTTAATACTTTAAATTAATGTCAAATATTCAACGTGATAGAAACTAAAATTCAGTCTTGAAAACAAACGCCCCTAGCGGGATGCAGCAGGCCTCCTTTCCGCGTGATGTTCCCCGAGACGGGCTGGTTCTGTGAAAGATTTGGTCAGAGATTCAGAATTGAAGTGGAGGGCCATTTGATTATTTGAAGCCTGCCCATCCGCCACGGCGCCGCCCATGCATGCATCCTTCGACACGCCGGACAAATCGCCTGGCTCCCTGGATGAACGTGATCGTCAAGCGGTGACCTCACGTACTGCACCGTCGTGGGCAGGCCGTCACCGGTCACCGGTGCCTGAACCCAGCAGCAGCAGGGCCAGCGCCGTCAGAGCTCGTTCGTCGCATCGGGAGCAAGCGAGCGCTACGAGTCTACAGCTACGCTTTTGCAAGCGTCCGCAGTTACTACACACGTCTCTTCCATCAGTGCACGCTCAGTCCTTGTTTTAAAAAAATTTGCGTGTCACAACCAAGGATATTTGGTTTCACGAACTAAATTTATTTAACCTAATTAATTTGTTATCAACACATATTTACTGGAGCACTATATTATTAAATCATGAACTAATTAGACTTAAAAGATTCATCTCGTAAATTAGTCTCAATATATATAGTTAGTTTAATAATTAGTCTAAATATCCAATAAAATAAGGATTAAAATTTATTTCGTGAACCAAACACTAGCACAAATCTTTTCCAAGCGTCCGCAGACCGCAGTTACTACACACGTCTCATCCATCAGTACTACAGCACTCTGGCTCCCCACATTTAATATTGGCAGTGGAGCACTGCTACACGATAGCATTTAATATTGGTTACCCGATCTCAGCGTCATATATTATGGCGCCGATATATCGCTAACGTCAACATCACCAGGATTTTCTATCGAAACGTGTTACCTCAGCGTCGATATATCGCTAACGTCAACATCACCAGGATTTTCTATCGAAACGTGTTACCTCAGCGTCAAGACTCATGGTGTCGACTCCAAGGGTTTAAAGATAAGTTTAAGTCTTTCAAAAAGCTAAATATAAATTTTCTTTGAAAAAAGGTTAAATAATAAAAAATTTAGGACGAGGAACTCTTAAGATTGTGAAAATACTATTGTAGCCTTTGGATTAAATTTACAACTGGTTTCGGGCCCACGTGTACAACTTAAGTTCCTCTATATTAGTCTTCTTATTTTTTTTAACCATTAGATCTATTCAAACGAATGGCTCTAGTTTTTTTCGAGCGCTATAAAATTTCTCATATTTATATATATAGATATAAACGGTAACTAAAATAGTGTTCTAGCCAGGTCACCCCTACCAACATTATATTATATATGTTATATCTATATCTATATCTATATCTAATAATAAAAAGGTAAAATTTTTGGCTATTTTTTTCGTCCATTCATTTTTTTCGTCCACCTCTCCCTAACTACCGGTAGTCGAGAGTTTTTTCCGTCTAGATTTATATGACTCTAGATAGTTATAACAAATAGATCTCTCCGAGCCTGGATAAACTGAATAGAAATATGAATCCTAATTCAAATAGAAAATAAATTAGACAAAATCTTATTTTACTTTCTATATAGCAAAGCTTTGTTTTGTTTTCCTTTTTCCGTCCATCTTAAGGGCCCGTTCGGTCTCAGAATCATTCCTTGAGCTTATACAAATTAAATAGCGATTCCGACGGGAACTCTTCCCATCGTTCCATCGAACGGGGCCTAAGTACCGTCCATCGCAACGGACTTTGGAAAAAATATTTTTTTATTCCTAAACTACCCTTTTTCCATCGTCCATCGTTTTTGAGTTGCCGAATTCATTTCTTGGTCCGTAAGATATCTTCGTTCTCCGTCCGTCATTATATAAGTGCTAAGCATGCACACATGCATGCCTGCCTTACGATGTCAGACCTGTTAGTCCCTAACGTATTACATGAGACAATGTCCACAAATCAGACTATTGTCTAAAAAAACTTAACACGTCCTACACCATGCCACGGTTTCCACCCAATTAAAAGTTAACTATTGCTTTATGTACACGAAAACAGATAGAATAGAAGAAGCATATATAATCAAACAAGCAAGATAATTTCATATGTGAATCTAATATAGTAGACCGTGCATGGGTCGGCGACGGCATCGGAGCTGCTGAAGCGGCCGCCGGAGGTGCGGGTGACGGCGGCGCATGGGCCTTGGGACCAATCAATCTCCTGAGACCTACGTTACCCCGATACACCGAGATAGGGACGTATCCCATATCGGATACTGATACGGATACAACATGGATACGTGTTGGATACGTATTTGATTGGCCTTTGAGCTGGTAGCAATGGAGCAATATGGATATTTTAGTTTGCAAATGGAGCAATATGGAATTTGCAGATGAGTATTATACATGATTTGATTATTAAGTTTGGCAGCCTGCAGTCTTAAAAAAAATAGTTTTATGCATAAATAATTGATTCCCTTTTTGATTTCACCTCAGCCGTGGCAGTAGGGATACTATATAATTACCCGATGAAATTTTATAAATGATTAGGTCTATGTATAACTAAATTGCATTTGAGCTCATAAAGGATCTTGGCACCAAGATAGTTTTATGGTTGGTTGGTGTCATAGTTTGCTATGCCTAATCTTAGGTAAACCATGGTTGCTACAAAAATATCATATTTGAAATAGCTTAAAAGTGGTTCTCACTGGCAGAACGCGACAGCCATGCCAAACACGTCGTGGTTTCTGTGATTTTCTCCCCACATCCGCCCACGGAAACGCGGGATTGCAGCTGAAGTCCTGATTTTTGGTACCGCGACTCGCATATCGCACACCACGGATGGCATACCGCACTGCACTGTGAGCACGCACAAGCCAAACAAACACAATCAATGTGTGGCGAGTAAAATCAAAGCCACACTTATGACAAAAGTTTGACAAGAAAATGAGATTATGACATGTGGAAAGGGTTCAAGAAAGTATGGTACATCCTAGTTGTGATAGTGAAACAAAGAACTACCTAAAAAACTATGATGTAACAAGTTGTGGTCATGAACCAAACAGACCCTAAACCCCGCGATCAGTTTTTGCACTCTCAAGAAAAAATCAACTCCCGTTGCAATGCACGGACATATTTGCTAGTTATATATAAAGATAAAGTAAACAATAGAGGATTTGCACAGTGATGAAGCCAGAAAAAAATTTAGGAGGGACTAAACAAAAGAATAGAGATTTTTTTATCTTCTCTTAACCTTAGCCCCTTCTACCTAATACATATATGTATAAAATTTTAAGGGAGAGCTTAGGGGGCTCCACGTGCCTAGGATCGGTAGGGGGGCTAGAGCCCCCAGCCCCACCGCTGGCTCCGTCACTGGATTCGCATACTACTGTCGATGTCGAGAGATGATTCAGATTCTCCTTGGGAGGCACAAGCACAGAGCTGAGATCGTTGCGACTCATCAGGGCAGCTCTCTGCAGCTCCATAGCCTGTAAAACAACAAGTAAGTGATCTGAAAGGAGACAAGTACAATGAAAGGCGGGTTCTGTGCAAACTTACAAATATACTTAATTTTTACGGATTATATACTAATCCGTAAAATTTAAATTTATTTGCGGGTTTGCCAGAACCCGCCTTGTATCGCTAAAGTACAACACTACTATTAGCAGTTGCAGCTATGTGCGTGGTGAGTTGCAACCTGGACCTTTGTCAGAGTGACTTCCTTCTACACAAGCTCCTTCTGAAGAATCTTGGCCTCGCTGACCACTCGTAGACAGATATCCAAAGACAGAGGACTTACACGGAGGCGATCAGTCACCATGAAGTTCTTAGGCTCCTGCTTCACATATGCAGAGTAGTGGCCACTTTTCCCTTCAGGCGACTTTGGATCTAACTCGTTTAGCTCTGCAGTTTTTGTATAGTTTTGACAATTGATGTAGGAGTATGCATATCGTTCAAAATCGTCGCTCCAACTGTCTCTTTTTTTTTAGAGCAACTATGGCCGCTACTTGAGCCCCTGTAGCTAAATATGGGGGCTTAGGTAAAAAATCCAACTCCGGCAAAGCCCCTACTACATACCCCAAATTTGTTAGTGCACTAAAATCCTCCTTCCAGACCCCATTCTAATTGACCCAACGCCCCGACCCCCATCCTATCTTTCTCCCCGCGCTGAACACGCAGTCTCCCTCCCTCGGTAGCCGAGCGGCGGCTCCTCCCCTGCTCCGGCGAGCATGCCCCCCTCCCCTTCTCCCCGGCGCGACTGCCCTTCTCCCCCCTTCTCACCGGTCGGCGCCGCTGCTCCCTGCTCCCTCCCCTTCTCATCGGCTTCCACTTCCCCGCACCGGAGCTGGTCGCGATGACGCTGGGCCTCCACTTCGGGTGCGGCGCAGCAAGCGGCCTCTACTTCCGCGCCTCTACTTCCCCGCGACCGAACTGCGACGAGACGACTCGCAGGCCACTTCCCCGTTGCCCGCTGCGCTCTCCTCGGATCTAGTTGTTTTGGCCGAGTTAGTCTATGGCAACCAGGTCCCACGTGTCATTGGCAGTTAAAATGAATTTAGGGGCTCTATTTTAAGGGCCACTGCTGGAGTACCGTCTAGAAAACAGGGCCTCCAAAAGTAGGCGGAGCACCCAAATAAAAAGTAGGAGCCCTGTTTTGAGGGCTACTGCTGGAGTTGCTCTAACCAACTGTGATTAGAAAAACCACCGATCTTTAAGCACGTGTAGCAAAAATTGTTTTTTATCTTCCTGGGAGCTACGTACTTCATTAACCTGTAGGATCTGGCTAGCGCCACAACCAAAGAAGGTTGACAATTCTGGGGCTAGTAACAGGCTCTTGCATTCTGCTCTCTTGCATCCTTCAGCGCAACCATCTATGCTCCTGTAAAGGTTATCGATGCAACCCTTTGGTAGCCGCTGGCGAAATGCCTTAGCTACAGATCCAAGTGGAACGCTCAATAATCCGAAAACGAGATCAACAAAATCATGTCCAGCTTCAGCATACAGTACAGCGGAGCTGGTCTTCGTCTGAAGAACCTTTATCTTCACATGTCCAACCTTGTCGTCTGCCTCATTCACTTGTTCATTGCACAAGTTCGAAGCGACCGAACCGAGGCCTGCATCGTCAGGTGAGATAGGAACGTTGAGATGGAGCCCAGTTAAAGGTTGCTTGGATGTGAGTGATCTCCTGAGCAAACTAGTTATCTGAAAGGAATGTATCGCAAGTAAATCAGTCACACCCAGGTGCAGTGCAAAAATCAGAGTTTAATAATTTGAACGAGAAAATAATCTAGTGTACGTTGTGTAGCGTGATAGACAAAGTGACAAACCTTCTCTGCAGTGAGCTGGAGGATCGTCTTGTCAAGATCGGCTGGATCCTGAACTCCGAATTTCTTGCAGAGCGAAAGCATGAGAGATGTGGAGGCTGGCCCTACCTGAAGATCATCAGTGGTGATAAACTTCTGGCGTCCCTTGACGAAAACTCCATAATCAGAACCAGCAGCCTCAGTTTTGGCACCATTGTCCGGCCTATCCCCAACGTACTCCATGACTTTGCCACATCTGCAGACGGTGTCAGGTACTGAGCTAAACGCGAAATCGTCACGAGCGCAACAGCTCGTGTCTTTGCAGACATACACTGCCCTAGGCTTGGTGTGGTCGATGTTCCATGTTCGGTAGGCTGGTACTGATTTATTGTGAGAGAAAAACACTATTATTTTGCTAAAACGGTACGGTTGACAGCACTGGCCGTAAGCCATGTTGAGCGGTTTCAGAAGCATCGCCTTGCAGGCCTTGGTCTGGACTCTGGAAGTAGTCGGAGCTGAGATCCTCGACGCTCTTGTACATCTCGTCGAGACACCCCATCTGAGATTGCTTGTCCCGCAGGCGAACAACGGTGGCATGGTGAGGAAGCCGAAGAGCACGTCGACGAACTCCTTGTCCGACTCTGCAAAGAGCACCTTCCTCTTCTCCTTGTCGACGAACTGCTTGACTTCAATGTGTTAGTTGATCTCCACCAATAGGCCCAACGGCCTATTGGACCCTTGCCTCTGCTCCCTGATCGGGGGAGTCCAACCCTAACTGGTTGGTGGGCCCCTGTCGCACAGCACATAAATAGAGGAGTGGGGACTGGGCTCAGCGAACGAGGTTGACCGGAGCCGCCACCCACCTATAGAGAAACCCTCAACCGATCTAAAGGCCCTTTGACGGATGAGCCCACCACCACCACTGCCGCGTTGGCATTGCCACCACCGTCCCTCTCGGATCTCCATGGCATCGCTACCTCGCCTCCCTCACCATGCGTGCAAGCACCGGCTCACTGTGAAGCAATCTGCCGTGCAAAGGCGAGCAGAGGAATCTTAAGAAGTCTACCCGGATCTACGGGTTACACAGAGGTACGAATCCACGTTCCTAACAATGGCATCGGAGCCAGGGTTGCCTCTGTATCCCTAACCCTAACCGGGTAAAAGAAGAAAGAAAAACCACCGCCACCACGCGGGGGGAAAAGATGATAGCACCGTTGTTCTACACCGGCGCATGGCAAGAACAGAAGAGATCCGTGTTCGGATCAAAGAAAGAAAGGAAGGAAAGAAAAGAACAGGGGTCGGCACACTAACCCTAATTCCCACCTTCGGTTCGGAAAATAGATATCAGTCCAAATCGGAGAAAGAAAAAGGGGAAGAAGGGAAGAGATTTGGATGAACTCCGAAAAGGAAAAGAAATCAAAAGAAAATGAAACCCTAACCCTAATTTGTAACCCCATTCCAAATCAGGTTAATCCCAAAAGAAGAAGGGGAAGGGAAGAGATTCGGAACCCTAACCCCCTCATCCTAATCGGAATCAAACCCGAAAAGAAGAGAAATCCAAATCGGTTCAATCCGAGCACCAAAAAGAAAAACAAAGAAAGAGGGGTTCGGCCTAGACCGCTCAAATCAGAGAAAGGGGAAAAGGGGAAGGTCGGATTCCAAACCATAACCCTAGATCCAAACCCTAATCCCCATCACCGGTTTGGATAAGAGAATCAAGATCCAAATTGGAGAAGAAGGGGGAAAAAAGGGGATGAGACCTACCGGTCGCGAGAACCTTTTTGAGCGCGGGAGAAGAAGATCGAGCCGGGAGCCGTTTCGCCGGGCTCGCAAAGCGCGCCATGCCCAGGCCGCTGACGGCGTGCGCGCGCTCACCCGTTAGAGCACGACGCCAGTGCATGGGCGACGGCGCATGGTTGTTGTCCTCGCCATGACGTCTTTCTGCTTTCATTTCTTGAAAAGAAAAAACGGCAATGAGAGAGAACGAAGAGAGAGAGAGCGGAGAGGAAAATGAACTAGGGTTTCGAGGAACCCACATGTGTGTTCTTGACCTCCCGAACGCAGCGGGCGAGCCGTCGATCGATCGAACGATTGCAAATGATCGGGTCGACCGCTGCCCAAAGCCGGCGAATGCATGCACTGGGCTTGCTTTGGCCTGAGCCGAATTATAGCCTAAAGTGCCAAATACATGGAGAATAGCAATTGGCTGGTTTTTTTGGCCAGACAAAAGTATGATTGATCAATTTGAGTCATTTTTCTTTCGTTTTTCATTTTCCAGTAAAGGTTTTATTTCCTGGAAAATTGAAAATGCAAATTGGCTCAAAAGAAAATATAGAAAAGATATTTTTCCCTGTGGGTAAAATTCAAGAAATTGAGTGTATGTTTTTCGCTGCTAAAGAAAAAGTATATTCTCCAGTGTTTTTGAACTGACATGATATTTAACTGGAGAAAAGAAAAGTTTTTTCAGTAAATGTTTATTTCCTAGAAATTGATTAATGGATTAAAGGAAATAGAAAATACAATTTTCCCTATGGATAAAATTCAAGAAAAGGAGAAGTTTTTCCACAGCTAGAGAATTTGTTTATTCTCCAGTTAATTTGTACCAACGTGGTATTTAATTGGAGAAAAAGAAAGTTTTTCCGCTGCTAAAGAAATTGTTAATTCTCCAGTTATTTTGAACCAATGTGGTATTTAATTGGAGAAAAAGAGTTTTGATATGATTATAATGTTGTTATTTTCTAACCAACGTTGTTAATAACAATATCGTAATTTTAATGATTTATGCATTGATTCTACTTCTGCCCAACGGTGATGTAGAATTAGTGTATAAGAAAAGTTGATAATTTTAATGATTTATGCATTAATTCTACTTCTGCCCAACGATGATGTAAAATTAGTGTATAAGAAGAGTTGTAAAAGATAATAATTTATGCATTAATTCTATTTCTGTCCAACGGTGATGTAGAATTAGTATATAAGAACAGTTGTGAAAGTTAAAGATTTATGCATTAATTCTATTTCTGCCCAACGGTGATGTAGAATTAGTGTATAAGAATAATTATATGTTTTGATTTTGACCAACGTTGGAATCAAGGCATGCAAATGGTGTTAATTTTACGTTAAGAAAAGATTTGACCTGGTTTTCATCTTGTTTGAGGTGGACTGGGTAGTCACCTCACCGTGTTCCACTGAGTTTGTGGCACCGGTGAGGGAGACAAAAGAGAATGATGCCACTTGGGCAACTAAAGAAAGAAATTTTGAATCCCAAAAGATATCCTATGGCTTTTGAGCATAGGAAGTGGGTCACTACAAACAAGAAATGTTTGGCGATGATAAAGAACATGATTGAACCTGTAATTGTGGGCTCAATCCCAGAATGTGACACGGTCACCGAATACCTCGATAGAATAAAGAGTCAGTTTACTAGCTCTTCAAAGACACATGCCACTTAGCTGATAAAGCAGCTGGTCACAGAGTGTTAATCTTGAAAAGGTGGCATAAGAGAGTTCACGATGCGTTGTCGAAATTATGGCACTATCGTTCAGGTCATATTTCGAGGGGAAGAATAGAAAGACTAGTTAAGAATGATATTCTTCCTCCATTAGAGCTCTGAGATTTAGAACAATGCAGAGAATACATAAAAGGAAAGTATGTAAAGAAGATTAAGAAAGATGACAAAAGAAGCGCAGGAATTTTACAGATTATTCACACAGACATCTGTGATCAGCTTTCCTATAAAGAGTGTGGATGGTTATGTTTCGTTCATAACATTCACAGATGATTACTCCCATTATGGCTATATTTATCCAATCAAAGAAAGAAAAAATATATTGGATAAATTTAAGATATTAAAGATTGAGATAGTCAGGTCTGATCGTGGGAGAATACCACGGTCGGCATACCCTAAAAGAATAGCATAGTAGCCCAGTATTCTACACCGGACGAATCTCAGCAGAATAGAGTAGCAAAAAGAATCAATCGCACCCTGATGGATATGGTGGACAGTATGATAAGTTACTCCACCTTACAGTTGAGCCTGTGGATGGAGGCGTTAAAACCCCATTCATACTCTTAAAAGAGTACAAAGAAAGTCGGTGCCCAAAACACCGTATGAGTTGTGGACAGAAAGAGCAACAACAGCCTCAAATAGAAGATATGCCAAATGTGAAGGCCCCTAGAAGATCTCAAAGAGTTAGAAAATCAGCTATTCCTGCTGATTATGAAGTGTATAACACTAAGGAATTTCAAATGAAAGATGAAATGAAATCGATGAATGTCAATAAAGTTTGGGATTTGGAAATAATTCTTAAAGGAGTCAAAACAGTAGGCTGTAAATGGGTCTACAAGACTAAACATGACTCTCAAGGGAATATAAAGATATATAAAGTGTGACTTGTGGCAAAAGGCTTTATGCAAAGAGAAGGGATTAATTACAATGAGATCTTTTCTCTAGTCTCATGTAAAGTTTTATTCAGAATCATAATGGCATTAGTGGCACATTACGATTAAGAATTACATCATATGGATGTAAAGACGGCATTTCTCAACAGAGACTTGGAGAAAAATGTTTACATGGCACAACCGAAAGGTTTTATTATGGAAGGAAAAGAACGAACAGGATATCGTCTAAAGAAATCCATTCATGGATTAAAACAAGCTTCAAGACACTGGTACTTGAAGTTTGATCAGACAATAAAGGATTTTGGGTTTTAAAGAGAATGTAGAGGACAATTGTGTCTATACAAAGTAAAGATAATATAGAGGACAATTGTGTCATTACAAAGTTTAAGAATGGGAAGTTTATCTTCCTTGTCCTGTATGCAGATGATATCTTACTTGCTAGTAGTGATGTCAGTGTACTACTGGAGACAAAGAAATTTGATATGAAAGATCTTGGCGAAGCCTCGTTCGTTCTAGGGATCGAGACTCACCGAAATAGAAGAAAAATAGTATAAGGACTGTCACAAAAGGCATACATGGAAAAGATCTTAAAGAAATTTAGTATGCACAGATGTAGTTCCTCACCTGCTCCTATAGTCAAGGGCGATAGATATGGGGATTTTTAATGCCCTAGGAACCAATATGAGCTCAATTGATAAAGTTAAAGTGGTTCCATATGCTTCAGCTGTCAAAAGCTTGCAACATGCTCAAGTATGTACACGCCCTGACTTGGCATTTGTTATCGGGTTTTACTTGGCAGATTCTAGAGCAATTCTGGAATAAAACACTGAAATTAGTAAAGAAAGGCTTGCATTATTTGCAAGGAACGAAAGGCCTCACGATGACATATAGAAGATCTGATTCACTTCACATGGTGGGATATTCAGATTCTGATTATGCGAGAGTGAATGCATATCCAGACGTGGATTTTCTATCATCTCGCAAATAGGAGCTATTTCATAGAAAGCTCAAAGTAAATTGTCACTACATCGTCCACAATGTATGACAGTTTGTAGCGTGTTATGAGGCAACGGACAGGTGAACTAACTAACGAAGTTCATACCCGGTTTGAAGGTGGTTGACAACATCTATAGACCACTAAAGTTATACTGCGATTATAATCTAGCAGTACAGAATGCTCATAACATAAGGCAAGT